CCAACACTATTCGACTGCGAAGCTGCAATATCCACAGGTAGAGCAAGGTGTTCGTTGCGGTAGCAGATTTTGCTAAAATTAATGTTGTTAACAATTGCACTTATTTGCACCTTATGTGCGTTTTTCTTATCTATTGTGTTCGGCATTATCGCTCGTACACTTTAGACAAGGAAAGAGATTCTAGAAGTATCATCATCTGTATTTTCAGTCAATTTTGAGTTCATGCTCCTTGGAATATCTGGAACATGATCAGATTGCAGATTAATAGTGGTAAATATTTACAATAACCCACGCTCCAAATGCAGAAATTTCGCATGATTAGATCCAGTACGAAAGGAGTTACGACTGAGAAGTACGGCTGAGGAACCATTTCACCGAAGACTTTTGAACGCTACTGTATATATGCAATCATAAAGGATTATAACTTCAAACTCCCTGTTACCGATCAAGCTCTAGCTTCTTCTGGTGTAGTGACAGTGCACCAAGAAGTGTCTAATGGTAAGACTATTAAGCAGTGAATTAAACTGAACGAATCAGCCGTTTTTCCTCGTAGGAAGGCTACCAAGTGAATTCAGATCCGTCTCTATCTCCAAACTGAAGCGAAGTGCATGGCGTGATCATGCAGATATCAAAAAATGACAATTAAGTGTTGTTATATTTTTGCGATAAAAACAAAATCTTTCCGAATATGTGGAAATAAGCCTATATGTAGAAATGTTGGTGTAGAAGTGCCAATGAGTGTGGAGGGTTGAATGCTTCATCGCCATGCCCATTGTTACACTCGGAATGAACTTCTCCCAATGTCAATCAAACCATATAAATTCTTATAAAGTCTTGGGGCGCAAATAAATTCTGACAAAGGGATGCGCACACCCATTCGACTTCCATTCAGAATGGTAGTGGCGTATTGAACGCGTTTGTGGCCTATATAATGACATGCCGACCAATCGATGTACAATTCAGTGCTTTTACCTCCCAGACGGGTCTGGTACCAGTTAATAGACCCCGGAGGGATGGAAGCCTTGATTTGGGCGGATATCGACACGGGTTTTGAGCCCGTGACCGTGGGTGCGTTAGGTGGGTCACTTGCCACTACACCACCTTCGCCCTATCAAACCATATCTTCTTCTGAATTGGTCTACATAGAGGCGAACGTGATAGGAGTTATCTAAGCATCTAGTCAGACCCTAAATACCTGTTTTCATTTTTGTGAAGCCTACGAATATATTCAATGGGGTATAAGTTTCCGGATTCATAAAGCGCATGCATATGTCAAGAAATGCCATAAAGGAGGATCATAGCATATTTCAGAGTGAAATCGAGGTTCCTTGGAGATATGCCAGAGGTTGTGGGCGTGAAATTGTAGAAGGTAGTGGAAAGGGAGGAATGCCATGGCCACTCCCATTGTCATNCCAGGAATGGACTTGAAGCTCATTCACGCATTTCTCAGTGGCCACATAAATGATTAGAGGCGCTAGAGCTTCATTCGCATTTGTGAGAAAACAATAAATCAAACAGCAGAGAGAACTTCAAGAAGCCCTCATTGGGTCCCACTTCTTCATAAAACTACCCAGACGTCGTCTGAAGGATTCCATTCTTTGATTGGATTGTACGTATTTTGAATACGTCCTGAAGTTTTAAGTGAAGTCACCTGCGAATAATGAAGCCAAGCAGCTGGGTTGTAGTAATGCCGAGAGAGGTAGAACTGCTAGCAAACGCATCGCCCAGAACCCAATCTTGGATCAAACCTAGGTGAATTTGATGAAGCTGCATTTCCTCTGACTCGTTTTACTTACATAGAATTGGTTACTTACATGGAATTGGTTGAGGGGTTTAGGACAGTGACAGTTCCAAAGTTGTTCGCAAAAAATCGGGAGGGATTTCGAGAGGGCTGTTGCCAGCAATTGGGTAGGAGAACAGTTAAACTGAAGCAATTAATTCTATTCGATAGTCACTAATTACCCTTCTAATCTAGGTAACAATTCTCCTAGCTTCCGATCGAAAATTCCAGCTTTCGGATTTGAAAGATACAATTTTCTGAAAGAGTGGACTTTTGCTTTTCGCTTACTATTCGATAGATCGTACAAATCTACGCAATGAAACCTCCTGAAGCTTCCGTACTCGACTAGAACAGCTTGATGAAAAGGGTAATATGGGTTAGATACGGTTGTTCAAGTCGGCATGCAGCTGAAAATCATCCCTGCATAGGTTCAACTCTGTCTGCCTGGTAGGACCAGCTCTAGAGGTTAGAGTGCTGGAACTGAGATTCTGCATTACAGGTCAGAATCTCCGGTAACGCGTCGACGGATTCAGTTGTTGGGTGAGGAATGTTTACTGGTCTGAATACGTGGCTACAGCAGAAGTAAGATTGTAATCAACGATTAAGTATTAGGTTGCAACCAACGTTGTGAATTCAGCTTCACGTGTGTTTCACAAAGGAGAGGGGTTGTATTTTGGACAGGGAGGGACCTTCGATCAGAGAGCTCTTAGAGCTGTAGCTGGATGACTTGATCCTTACCTTCATAACTTTAATCTAGAACTTTGGTGCTACAATGATTCGCATAGATTATGCGTGACGATCTCTACTGAGCTTTCGGCTGGCAGCAAGAGGATTTGTGCAATTCGCTGATGAAGGTTAGTGTTAGGTGAGTAATACCCTTCTGGTTTGAAGAAGTGGCTCACTCAACCCTGACCTACATAGGCTTACCTGTGACTCTGACCTTAGGAAAATAAGTATCGACCAGGGTTGGCAGTTTATACCTTGCGCATACGATAACATCGATAAATTGGAATGCCACTGGCAAAGAAGTTTAGAAGGGTAGCATTGGCGGTTGTAGCAAATTTCGGCAAATGGACGATGGTTGGTGTCCGAAGCAAGTCGCCGTTGTCACTTTTAGGGCTCAGCGAGTTGTCGCTGTAAGCCCCTCGAAGCAATCCCATCCCAAGTGAAAAACTGATCTTTCCTCAAAGCTGCTGTGACAGATGCTTAAATGGCTCATGTCGTAACTCCGAAAAAATATTGCGGGGCTTTGCTAGATAATCTTCCCCATACAAAGAGCTTTCGCTTTTTTCAATTTCTGTCACTAAGCATGCGTAGTTATTACAAAACACATGAGGATGGGAGAGCTATGGACCTTAGTGAAGTCTGTGCTATTTTTCAGCTTTTGGCTATAATTACACCCAATCTACGTGAAAAGAGGCTTCTATCTGGTGCGGTAACCGTGGTATTCATTTCTACCAGGGTTAAGGTGCATTCCATGGATGGTACATTTGAAAGCCGAAATGAATCGTTTAATCACTTTCCTTTTCCCTGTATGCTCTGAACGCCTCTAGTACCAATTTAGCATTTGATCAATGGCTAGGTATGTTAAGTTGTAGATGGGAGGAAGTGGTGCAGATGGGGTAAGTGGGGCACTGTCACGCACGGGTGACCAAGGGATCGAGTTCGCGCTGAATTGAACATAGGCTGGCCACCACAAGCCATTGACTAGGGTTCGTAGGCAATGAAGAAGTCACATCGATATTGAATGATAGTCCAATGCGAGGGTACATCCTAAAAACGAGATTCATTAAGGACAAAAGACTGTTTCCTTTACATAAGACCCAGAGAGTGGTATAATAGCGTGCCCCGGTGCGAAAGTGGCTTGAATAAGCGCACGCGGAGAAACCTTCAAATGTTATGTTTTTTACATTCTTTTCATCATATCAGTAGCTCAACTCGCACAGGAGTTCTGCTCGGCCTCATCATTTTGTTATTTTTGTAACTATTACTCAGTTAGTTGTAATTGTTACTGTTGTTAGCTAACTGTTATGATTTAGCTGTTCGGAGGCACGTCGTCTATTCTGCTGGTTTGGTTCGTTCCATGCTCTCCTTTTGTCGTTATGTTTCCCTGGTTTCGTCAGTATTGCTTCAGTGACTCTGGCCGCTTTCCATAGAGCTCATGTCACATATTTGAGGATTTTAAGGTTTCTACGATGCTTAGTGGACGAACCCGTGCTCTACTCGTACGTTGTATGAAGTTATCGATGCCACAGAAACGTGTGAGGCTAACATATACGTCCTCTGGTTTCACCTCTCCGGGGGAAACTGTTACTAAGCAGATCAAGTTTATATGTGGAGATGAGACGTTTACTGGAACCGGCAAAGTAAGCTTTCTTCATTTATCACTTCAGTAACTTTCTGTTTCCTTATTTTTCCTTATTACTATGGAATCCTCGATCACGAAATATTCGTAGAACCCATTTGAGGGTAAAGTTGTGCACGTTAAGGAATATAAGGGGCGAGCATAACATTTTAACATTTATGATTGGAGTGAACCCCAATGGAGGACTACAAAGTCAGAACATGGGTTTATTGGGGCAAAGAGTACTGAATTAACAGCTTCAGATATCCGCGATTTTGGACGGCTAGGCAGAAGCACTGGAACAGAGTACATCCAGAGGTTCGGTCGGATCCCTGTCCTCTGTCTTCTCGCGGTTACCCTAAGCACAGCGTCTCGACATCTCCGCCTGCTAACTAGCGAATTTCATCAATAGCAGCGCATGCGAATCACTGCGCATGCCAAACTCGCGATCAGCCACTGCAGTCCTTTCTCAAATAGACATTTTTTCTCTTCCTCAATGCGCTGCAAGTGCACTGTAAGGCAAGGTAACTCGGATTATCTATGGAAGGTGTTTCCCTATACCTCAAGTTTAGTGCAGGAGAAAAACACCCTCCGTTCAATGAAGCTTTAAGGAATTTGTTGCTAATTATTTTTAACTCCAATTATAGATAGAAGAAGACATACTAGATGTCGTACTCAACAACGATATACCTTTGGATGGTTTTGGTGCTTGCGAAGGTTGGTCTTGAACAAAATTCTTCTTATATCTGTTTCTAAATTACTATTAATCCTAATTCATCGGGTGTGGTGCGCTTAGCACGGAGACTTGCTTGTCTTCGTTGCCTTTTACTTGATTCCCACCATCCTTTGTTCTAGAGCTATCTTTAAAACTCAAAGTTTAAGTTCACATGGTTATTAGTATGCAGTACTATAAAGGTGTTCCTTCCAGGAATGCTTGCATGTTCTACGTGCCATGTCATCCTTGAAAAAGATCATTTCGATCGAGTTGATCGAATTAACCCACCAAGTCAAGAAGAATTGGATCTTCTCGATCTCGCACCTGGTTTAAGCGAGTATTCGCGACTTGGTTGCCAGGTAGTTTATATCACAAGTCGTAATTCTTTAAATTTGTCGTGCAGGGTCGTTACCCTGTAAGAAATTTTTTGAAACTGTTCGGCCATTTTTACGTCCGAAGTGTGCTGCTTCCCTACCTCAGTTGCCCTTTTTTAAAGAATGAAGCGCTTGATCACTTTTTTCTGTTTTCCATTGCAACAGAAATGGTATCTAGATAAAGGGATAGAACGAACATGTTGTATGAGTCTTCTTACTGTTTATTTTCCCCACTACTTTCAGATCCAACTTGCCCGAGATGATCCTGACACAATCGTTTGTGTCGTTCCTGTACATGAAGATTTACGCTTGAAATAGTTGCAGGGGCATATATAATAACCCAACGACAAAGTCATTCGTCAAAGCATAACCGTGTTGTAGTTTCCGTTCTTTGTTTAGATCTTCTTTAGATTATTTGAAATTTTCAAACTGTATTCATCGGATTAGCCTGCCGATGTTGGACATTCTTCCCTTTGTACTTATCAAGATTGATCGACCTGCTTTCGATGAGTCTACGAGTTTAATGTTCTGCATTGACTGCAGTCTGGCATCATTTGCTTAGGAAGTGGTTCTGTCCTATGATTGCAAGAGATCTATTAGAATATCCGATTGAAACAATAAGATAGTTCATTATTTTGTTGATAAAATGATTTCGAGAGTAATCTTAACTCTGGGATTTCTTCTATTATCTCAGAAGCGTGACATTTGTGTGCTGTAGGTTCTTCATGGAGCTCGCAACCTAACATCGTGAGTTTTGTAACTGGAACAAGCTCGCTAAGATTGAAGCTTCTTAATTTTTCCCTATATTTCTTCAAAGGGAAATGGTGATGGTAATAGACTACGAAATGGTACCAGAACTTTCAAATGATCACTCGAATTTGCTTTAGTTCATAAAATTATTATTACTTAAATTAAAAGTTAGAAGGGTTTGAACTCTGCTTTGAAAACTCCAAGTTTTTGACAGAATTTAAAATCGCTTTTATAGTTGAGTTTCAGCTGTTCAGTGAATCACACTGCTGTTGATATGGACGATTCACAACGGTTACTTACTCGTACTTTGTCTCGTTCGTACTTTGTGTTCTGCAGAATGTGTGCAAGAACGACTCTCTTGCTTTCACGTTAATACTCATTGCTGACAGCGTAATTACTCATCCATGACTCACAAAGGATAATGATGGATTGGGACTACTGGAGAAGGTTAGTATTGTCCAAAGACATTATAATCACTGAAGAGAATGGTACATTCGCAGGCATATTGGCAAAGATTTCACGAGATCCCACATATCAATACGCTTTTCTTTGCAAACAAACGCAGCTCAAATCATAAACCGATGTTCGAATCTATGAAACACCGGGAAGAACTATGATGATCACAAAGGAGGAAAGTTGTTCGGTGTTCGGTATTCCAATATGATGTAAAGTGGTTTTACAACAAATGCCTTTTTTCACAATAGCTTCAAGGCTACAATCAAAACTGATCTAGTAAGGAACTGCTGTGACGCGATGAACCTTTTTCTTCGCTCAAGCTTTTTTTGTTCTTAGAGCTTTCTAAAATTTGGTTGGACTTTTCAATAGGCACTATTATCCTGTATCTTTGTTAAAGGTTCAGAAGTTCAGATAAAGACGGCTTATGAAATGGGGATATCCCCCTAGGATAAATCAAAAGCCACACTGTACTCTATTCGTGGCGCTGTCAGGTTGGAATGCGGCCTAGATAGGGTGGACGAGTTAGAACGGCATTGTAGAGGTTCCACCATTCGCAAGGAAACCAATGTACCCATGATCCATAGCGACAGTAAAAGGCAATTCTGAACAGTTTTGATCAGATANAGCTCGTCCACTTACCACTTCTATGTCATTTCCGTCATCCAATCTCGTACAACCTCTATTTTCACTGCTTTTGAGGAACCTTATGTTTCGCAAAACCGGGAATTATCTTGCTTCCTTTACCACCGATGCACTATCCCCAACCAATAACTCGCTTCTCGACTTAAATGGGGTACCTTAAAATTAGCGTGTACTGGCCTTAAAGTGCAATTTATGGTCGAACTCATTACACCAGCTGTTTGAGAGTGTTTTGTGAGTACAGCGATCAATGCGATGTAGTCCTTTGACGCGGTTGACGTGGGTGCAGTGGTTGGTTATATCTTGAGTCGAACTCATTTTAATGACGCCCTTCACGCTTGAGCGGTATTCTTATATTCCCTTTCATTTTTGCGCTCTAATCTGGCTCAGCCAACTTTTCGATTACATATTGGTATGTTTGTTCTACTGTACGCTGTTTTCATTGCTGTTGTCTAGTAGATAATGCGGAGACCTATTGAGACCAGTTTCTCAAGCGCTACCTCCCCTATTCACTTCCTTGTCATTTTTCCCCAGTGCTTTAATGACACTCTAGCCATGAGCTTGTTCAGGTGTCTGAAATGTCAATTACAAAGACTTTGTCTCCATTAATGAGCTGCTATAATATTTTCAATTGTTCGAACTTCAAACGGTTATTAAATGTTGCCCCCAGCCTTGCCTCTGTGCGCTCTGCTTCTACTAAACGGATTGAATTTGTTTTTGGAAACAAAAAGTTTGTTGGAACGGCACAGGTGAGAACTAAGACATTTTTTCTTTTTCTTCTCGTTGTTATTCGTTAATCGTGTGAAATGAATTGAAGTCGGCTAGGGCACTGTTACACAGCCTGCCCCAATTCCAAGGTGATCACGATCCAGTGCATTTTCAATCTTTTGTTCGATTNCAGATTGCATAGACCCGACTACTCCGAGACTGCAGAAGTATGAATATTCAACGTCACAGTACTGTTCTCATTGATTCGAACTCTTTTATAGGTCGGCGACTCTGTGCTGAACGTTGTTCTAAACAACAATATACCGCTGGACGGTTACGGTGCTTGTCAAGGTCGGTTTCGTGCAGTTGAAGCATACCATTTCTCTCAGTTCTTTACACTATACCGATTTGCTGCCTAATGCGCTTTTCTTGCCGCGAAATATCTACATATCTTCTTGTCATCTCTCTCTTTTAACCTTTCAACTTCCTTTTAATCTCGTGTGCTATGTACGAAACTGATCTCCATGAACTTGACGAAGATTTGCTTCATCGTAATCTATGATGGTAAGATGGCCTTATACCATTTAATTAGGCTGTTTTTATGTTTCGGAAGAATTGATCTCTTGGGAAATGGGGTCTGCGTAACTACCATTTTCAATTATCAAACGCAATTTTGGGTTCAAAAATGTTCATCTGTACGCTATTGGTTCCAGGCAACCTTGGATGTGGAACGTGTCATGTCGTACTTTCACCAGAGCACTACGAACGTGTAGATCGAATCAATCCGGTGCAAGAATTAGAGCAAGACCTTCTCGATGGCGTTCCCGAATTGACAGACCATTCTCGACTAGGATGCCAAGTTAGAGTTGTCACAATCTTTGTTGTCCATGGCTGTCATCCATTTTCATCCATTCAATTATCTAGGTTGATGTCGCATAGCTTGTCGCCGTGTTGTAAAAATTTCTTGCTTTTTCAAATCATTTTCAGGTGCAAATAGAAGCAGATGATCCAGATACGATAGTAGTCAAGGTACCTGTCAAAAAGAGAAACGCAGGAACACTAAAATAGTATGAAATGTTGCTGAAGGTGTCTTGTCATCGATTTGCTCATTATGACAGTAAAGTTTGGGTGAATTTACTGCCTATGATCATGGATTGGTAATCAGACATGCGTTTGACAGCATTAGCCGATTCTGAATGGGTACCCTTCGAGTCTCTTGCATTTTTCATTATAATACGCTCTACACTGGGTGCCTTCTCCATGCTATGAAACAGTTTCGTGATACTGACACTGATACTTCATACTATGAAATGGTCGCCCGTAATTTTAGCCACGAAAAGAGTGTTACTCGTTTCTGCATTAGCTTTTCACACATTTATAAGTACAATCCGCATGTTGCTTTATGTTTTCGTAACCTTTGTTACTTTTTGAAGGGTGCTTGGAACTTGGGTTCCTTCTTGCCTAGAAGAAAAGCTACGAAATTATTGTAAAATAATCGCTAACCTCGTTCTCCTGCTTGTCGTGTGCTGTTTGTCGTACAATATGAAAAGCTTTGAGTTGCTAGAGGGGGAGGGTGATTTCAAATTTTTGACTCTCAACGTTCAGTCCGGATTCACCGCTCCTCAGGATTTCACAAGGAATAAAAGAGGCTAGACAGAGATTGCAGAGGCTAGATGTTGACCCGTCTTTTTCCACGCGAGAGTTTAAAAATTTAGCGATTATGTTCTTTGGGGGGTCGCATCTGCTTGAATCTTCAAAATCGACTCGGCCAACATCCGAGAAAATAATTCATCAACGTTCAGATCGTAGTTCTGAATAATAAGCGGTTATCTCACATTTTATGTGAAAGTTTGGAATGCAAGTACATTGCGGCAAACAGTAAACATAGCCCTCATCATTATTGTTCTATTGCGATTTCCGATGAATATGTCGAAGACTTTAAGATGCTTTCTGATACCCATGTGCTTGTCATGGTTTTGTATTTGATGGTTGTTGCTGAGGTCACATTTCATTGGTCGGTGACCTTTATAAATGCGACTAAAATGGGGCACTAAAACTCTGAGCTTTCATTAGGAGTTTTCTGTGATCGTCCAACTGTAGAACTGGTCTATGATAAGGGCATTGTTTCACACTGTCGTTGTAAAAGTGCGAAACGAAACGTCCTATCGATCAACAGCAGTTTTTGCCTACGTCGCCCTTGTGATGTTGGTTAACTGGGCCTGAGTCGGCATCACTTCAGAGGCCCTCGTTGGGCTTTGACACTTTGCTTATGGTTCCATGCGTTCTTGTGGGCAGAAACACATTCGTTCATATGATGGTATCTTTGTTTCTGATATCGTCTTTTGTTTATATTTGTTGTTAAGCTAGAAGAGGCTTATCATAGAGACCCTCCACACGTTGAACCCTTTGTTTATTTCATTTTTTTCCGCTTCTTTGTTTATTTCATGCTTTTCTCTATCATTTGTGCTAGTTCTTTCGCCTCGTCGCTATAAGAAAGTTCTTTTTGTTTTCAACATGGCAGTCCTGTAATGGATCTAGTTACAGATTTCTGAAATGCTAACTCAGCGGATCCTGTACTCATTACCGAGTCGCTTGCTTTATTCAAAATGTTTGAAGCCGAAGTCACTGTTGAATGCTGTCTTTTATTCGGTCTTTTTACGGAATGTTTCTACTAAACGGGTTGAATTCATTTGTGAAGGAGATAAATTTGTCGGAAAGGCAAGGGTGAGCTCTAATACTCTATTTCCAATTCACCTACTGATGATTCGTAGTATTGTGTGGTCGTGCGTTGAAATCTCAGAATTCACTTTTACTCAGCCCAATAACTACCGGTGCCATCACAGTTAAGGAACCGCATTTACGAATTTGTGCCTTTTTACTTTTCCCTTACCAAATTTTTATTTGAGTTAGTAGAGCTCTTGGCACATTCTGCAAAAACCAGTCCTATTATATACTGCGCGCTAAGTGTGTCCATTGGTTTGTGGTGTGTTTATGTGTATGTGTGTGTGTGTTTTTGACTGGACGGATCTGGGATCTAGAGAGTTCAAATTTGGTAGGAGAACAGACGGCAGGATGAGAACACTAGTGCCTGCTTTCAGAGTTCAACAATTCAACCGACGTCCGTCTGTCCGTCCGCCCGGCGCGTTGCGTGCATGCGACCGCGGCCGTAACCATTAGTTGACAACATTGGATCACTGGATCACCTGCCAACGAGTGGCTAGAGCTGCCGTCGCACGCACGCAACGCGCCGGACGGACGTCGGTTGAATCGTTGAACTCTGAAAGCAGCCAATGGCTGCTTTCTTAGTCCGCCGGCCGGCCCGCGAGCGCACGAGCGAGGGCGCCAGCCGGGGGCGGCGTTTGTCCCTTGTTTACAATTGAATCTCGGTCGATACCGTCGGCCGAGTAGTCCCCCCCGCTGGCGCGCTCGCGGGCCGCTCAGCGGACTATGAAAGCAGCCAATGACGAGTGAAAGGGCTAGACTTTACCCACAGAGGCGAAACGTGCACTAAAATTGTAAATTCAGACTAGGTTGATCAATTTTGATAGGAGCACGGGTGGCAGCATAAGAACACTTATGATTGGTGACAGGACTATACTCCGCCATCAGGGAGCGGGCGTCGTCGAAGGTAGTTAATCTGGACTTGAAGCGATCAATTTTGTAAGGTTCAGACAATAGGATTTAGGAGGCGAATCGTGCGTTAAGTGAGCTTACAATTAGTCTGAGTGAATTAGCGTAATCAAGTTGAAGAAGGTAGGGGAGAGAACCAAGTTACATAAACACGCATGAGTTGATCGGGAGTACGCTCAGAAGCGAGTCGCTCACGAGGTGTGTTAGGTATGAGTATGCGTGTTTGCCCGGAAATTTATACCCGTTCTTCTGTACCATAGCATCCGAACTCCGACTAGTTCGAAATTGGAGCCATCGGAAATTATGTGAAGGATGCTAATTATTTTCAATTTCAGGTTGGCGATTCTATGTTAGATGTTGTTCTCAATGACGATTTGCCTTTGATCGGTTATGGTGCTTGTCAAGGTCAGTCCTTTTTAGTGAAAGCCTGTAGTAAGTGACCTGAGAATTTGATGCTGCCGGTAAAGTTTTCAATTTTTTATTTTTTCTTCAATAGTTATTTGTTAATTATTTGTCAAATGCGAAAACCTTCACAGTAGGTATTTCTTCTATATAAAGGATTGACATCGGTGGTGTTTTAATGGAGAACGTGGCCGTCAAGGTACACGCCGTTTAGTAATTTTTTGGATGTTCGGCTCGGACTTTTTGCCCTCCATTTTTGATTTATCTTATGTAGCTCTCCGATCTGAAAAGGCGTACTTCCCGTCTTGTTCCAGGGAGAGTCCGGCTGAGCTTAGTGATCTTCGTTTGTTTAGCAAGAAATAAGAATAATTTGTGCATTACTAACTTCTTTTGATGTCAAATGACTTCAACTTCAACTGATGCTAAATTTTTCTTTTCCTGCTATCTGCTGAAAAGTAAGGCCGAAGAGCAATCGAAGGTATATTTGTCGTCGAATGTCACAGTTCTCATAAATTCGTTCCTTCGGTTTTTATCAGGAATAGCAAGCGCTTTGACATAGCTATTAGTCAAGGTTAAGGTTAATGCTAGAATCTAGCTAGTTGCAGCTCACTAACCTTTTAATGAAATTGAGTAGGATATTTGCGATTTAACAATGCTAGTTGGAAAACATGGCGGAAAGAGTACAATGTGGTTTGGAATGTGCTTCAAGATATATAATTCCATTCAGTATACGTCCTGGATGCTGAAAAATGCAAGGTCCAAATATTTTATATGCCTTTCCATTTGATATAATGTTCCTCTTCTGATATTTTGTTTTCCCTCTTTTTGATCCTAGTAAAATACGTTCGCAATGCAGCTTAATTGTCCCTAACCATAAAGCATTCATTAAGTTTGAAAATTTGGAAGTGGTTGACCGTGCATGGGTCATTTGAAATAGTAACCAACTTATGTGTTGCACTCAAATACAGGTCTTTGAGGATACCAACTTCTACTGTAAGCAGCACAGCGTTTAGATGATTGTCTGAAAAGCGGTCAATTGCAGTTTTCCCATGTTGCATAGTGGTACGAATGATCTAATTTAAGATTTTCAGCGTTTCTAAGTGATAGAGACTCTCAACGTTTGTATTTATATACTCAACGCAATTTCATGCTAAGACAGTTAGTTATCTAATAGCTTTTTTAGGCACGCTTGGCTGTGGTACTTGTCATGTAATACTCTCACCAGAACATTTCGAACGTGCTGGTCGGACCAGCCCACCGGACGAGGAGGAGCTGGATCTTCTCGATAAGGTGCTAGAGCAGACTGACCATTCACGATTAGGTTGTCAGGTCAGCAGAAACTTCCATTCCTTTTATCATTTATGACATCTATGGCACTCGATTTGATTATGGCCAAAAAATATCAGTTAGACTACTAGATAAGAGCAGCACTCTGATGCCATAATTAATTTTTGATTTAGTTCATCATTTTATGTGCATTTTATCGAACCGCAGAACTTATGATTCTCGACACCAGATTTGCTGTCCTATGCTTCCAATACTCAAGACCGATTTAGGTGAAGGTTACTGCGGAAGATCCAGATACAATAGTTGTCAAGCTGCCAGTGCAAAGGAGGGATGCGCGAACAATGGAGTAGAAGAAAAGTCACTGCTAGTGTCTTGATATCGATCCAATCACCAAACCAGAGATTTGGTAAATCTATATTCACCAAATATGTCAGGTCAATAAATACATAGATCTGAGTTTAACATGGATTGCTCACCAAAATACGGAAGTATAATAGCCTTTTTTCTGGTCTTGTTACGTCTTTTTCTGTTTATTAGCTAGATTTGTTTCAATTATGTCGTACATTGAAGTGCAGGTGTCGTACTTCGCAGGAAAGAATTGTTTTTGCTTTTATTATTCCATCCAACTTGCAGTTGTAAATTTTTTATGAAGCTCCCTTTATTCAATCGGAATAGCATTGGTGATAATCACTTATCGAGTTGGCTTTATTTTTACTGGTGTTACTGGTGTATGACCATTCATATGACTAAACTCGAGTATCTTTTGTGCTCCTCTAGCTCTGAACTACCATTTCAGTAATCTTCACAGCACGTTTAGCAAGAGCGTATCACAGGGATCAGTTTATTATCACTTACTGCATTCTGCCCCTTTTTGACGTTGCTTTTTTCTTCTTTTGGTGTCTTTTATCTTTCGGAGCATGTCAATAATCGATCGCTCAGGAGGGCTGTTAACACTAGTTCGTCACTTAGGGCTTTTTCACATTGGACAACTCTTCCGCACTGATCAGCTTTTGGCTAGGTGCTGGCTACATTTGTTCATTTGTCCACCCTGTGAAAGGAATTCACTGAGAGTGCAACTCATATCTTGAGCCCTGTGTTCTCCTACAAAAAAGTCTTCGTTTTAGTTCATCATTGATTATATCACAGGATCAGGTGACGGCCTAATGCGTCATCAGGCATCTTTCACCGTCAAAAAAAAAANTATGTCAGGTCAATAAATACATAGATCTGAGTTTAACACGGATTGCTCACCAAAATGCGGAAGTATAATAGCCTTTTTTCTGGTTTTTTTACGTCTTTTTCTGTTTATTAACTAGATTTGTTTCAATTATGTCGTACATTGAAGTGCAGGTGTCGCACTTCGCAGGAAAGAATTGTTTTTGCTTTTATTATTCCATCCAACTTGCAGTTGTAAATTTTTTATGAA